CCAAACCATGGCCTCCAGTAGGAAGTTAGTCGATGCCATGCAGTCACTTTGCCTCAAGTACTATGGCAAAGGTACCTATCTTGCTCAGATATGAGTCTTGCGTGATCTTTTCATGAAGATTTGGGAAGCTTAGTCCATGGACTAAGAACTCACTAAGAATTTGAGTAAATTCTTTTTTAATGAACTTCTTAATTTCAGGATCTCAAATGCCGGGTTGTTTAGATTTCAGAATCGAATTTGGGTTCCTATCGTTGTCAGGACGAATGTTCTCAAGGCTGCCTATGCCTCCAAACTATCCATCCATCTCGAGAGTACCAAGATGTACTGTAACCTGAAATAATGGTGGTTAGGAATAAAGAAGAACATTGTTGACTACATCTCCAAATGCCTTACTTGCCAAAGGATTAAGGCAGAACACTAGAGACCCGATAGTTTGTTATAGGACCTCTTGATTCTAGAATGGAAGTGAGAGTAAGTAACTATGAATTTTATTACCGGACTACCTAGGACTTGTTTTAGTCGTAATGCTATTTCGGTCATCGTTGACAGACTAACCAAGACCATCTATTTTTTATCCATCAGAACTACTAACTCCACAAGCAAATTAGTCTACTTTTATATCAATGAAATTGTTCGACTCAATGGTGTTCCCTCATCCATTATGTCCGATCAAGATCCTCGATTTACCTCCCATTTTTTACACAAACTTCAGAAAACTATTGGGTTTAGATTGTACTTCAGCACCACTTATCATCTCCAAACTGATGGTCAATCCGAACGTATTATCCAGACGTTGGAAGACATGTTGCGTGCTTGCATCCTTGACCTTGGCGATAACTAGTATGAGTATTTTCTCCTGTGTGAATTTGCTTATAATAACAATTATCATTCTAGTATTGACATGGCTCCGTATAAAGCCCTATACAACATCGTTCTCCCATATATTGGAGCGAAATAAAAAACCAGCATCATTTGGGACCAGACTTCATCTAGGAGATTATTGAGAAGGTCGCGATCATCTGTAAGAAATTGACTATCGCCCAGAGCCATTGGAAGAGTTACGCTGATTATTGTAGGAGACCCCTCAAATTCACTATTGGAGAGCAGGTCTTCCTTAAAACTTTTCCCTGTAAGGGAAAAATACAGTTCGAGAAAAAAAGGAAAGTTAAACCCTCGTTCCGTGGAATCTTTTCAGATCGTAAAGCGTATTGAACTCATAGTATATCACCTTACTTTACCTCGAGAGTTTGCGGATCTACATGATGTTTTTCACGTCTCTACGCTCAAAAGGTACCACCCTGACCCTTCTCATATCATTTCTCACGATGAGACGTAGGAACAAGCCGATATAATTTACAAAAAATTTTTCGTGGAGATTCTTAGATGAACCGAAAAAGTCTTATGCAACAAGACGATTCCCATGGTGAAGGTGCAGTGGCAGCACTATATTCCGGAATAGGCAACGTGGAAGATGGAAAACGAGATGAGGAAAAAGTTTTTGGACCTGTTCAAGACAAATTTAGAGACCAAATTTTTTAAAGGTGGGAGAAATGTAACACATCACTCACCATCGTGCTAAATTGTATTTGAAAAACCTTATTTATTTGGGTCTTAAAGTCACACTGAAC